ATGACCTTGAACAGTTCTTTGTGACCCATTTGTGACTCAGTTCCTCTAGTTCTCAAGTGGGGGCAATAATATTACTCACCTCCGTACTTCACAGAGATGTTGCAAGGAGTAATGTTTGTAATATGCTGTGGAGTTCTCAGATGAAAGGTGGAAATTAATATATGATGAAACATTATTACCATTTATCTTCACACCATCTAAATGGGTTAGGCTAGTGAAGTATCAGCATCCCCACAGTCCTGGCAGAGACTAGTACTGCCATTATTCCCACTTAACATCTATTATATACACCCAAAGAGATTGAGAATTGCTCAGAGCAGCAGGCTTGCTCCTGGGATAAAGGAAAGCAAGCCAAGATACCAGATCAACAAAGAGGTCGCTAATTATTTATTTTCTTCTTCTTTTTTTCTTTCCTTTTTCATTCTTATTTTAGATGGAGTGTTTAAAAGGAAATGAGTGCAGAGGAAGAATCCGGGAATGGCTGAAACAACTTTTCTTCGGACTTTCAATTCTAAGTCATCAGCATCTGTGCATGATTCACAGTCCCTGAATGAGCTCATGGGCAAGTCCTCCTCTGTGCCTTTGCTTTCTGTCTCCTTTTTCAAGAAGGTTTTCCCTACTTATCTAACCCAGCATTGAGCTCTTTACCTCCATGGAACCTTCCTGGCCTCACTCTCTACCTCAACCCCCTCTGCCACTCTTTTGTAGTTATTAGCACGTGCTTTGGAATTTATATTTTGATGCTGGTCTTACTTTCCAGCAGCCTTAACTCTTCAAGGTCATATTCTATTAATCTCTATTCTTTATCTAGTACAATTCTTGGCTTACTGAAGTTAATCAAGTAAGTATTAAATAAATGAGTAAGTGGAATCCATCAGCAAAAGGATACGATACAAATTCAGACCACACCAAATCCATATCCGCTATTCTCACCACGCTGTATCATACCTGTGAAGCACATGTAGTGCAGAATAGAAATATTGAGCAAACAAAATTGAAGAGAGACAGACTTATTTAAATTTTAAGTCCCTTCAGGTAAATACTAAGGAACACAATTGCTGGATTGTATGATAAGATGTTTACTTTTGTAAGAAACCCCCAAACTGTCTTCCAAAGTGACTGTACCATTTTGCATTTCCACCAACAATGAATGAGGAGAGTTCCTGTTGCTCTGCATCCTTGTTAGCATTTGGTGTTGTCAGTGCTTTCAATTTTGGCCATTTTAATAGGTGTACAGTGGTATCTCGTTTTAATTTGCATTTTGCTAATGGCGTCATCAAATTGTTGAAAACATATGTCCACATGAAATTCTACACATGAATGTATGCAGCTTTATCTGTAATTGCCAAAACTTGGAAGCAATCAAGAGGTCCTTTGGGAAGTGAACAGATACGTAAACTGTGGTACATTCATGCAATGAAATATTATTTAACTCTAAAACAGAATGAGCTATCAAGGCACAAGAAGACATGGAAGTAACTTACATGCATATTACTAAGTGAAAGAAGTCACTCTGAGAAGCAACATACTGTATGATTCTAACTGTATAGCATTCTGGAAAAAGCAAAAACAATTGAGATAGTAAAAGAATCAGTGGTTTCTAGGGCCTAGGAGACACATAGGGATGAAATAAAGGGAGCAGAGAGAATTTTGAGGGTAGTGGAACTACTCTGTTGGTGTATATATATGTCATTATACATTTGTCAAAACTCACAGGATGTATAACACTAAGAGTAAACCTTAACATAAACTATGGTCTTTGGGTGAAAATGATGAGTCGATGGGGCACCTGGGTGGCTTAGTGGGTGAGTGTCTGCCTTTGGTTCAGGTCATGATCCCAGGATCCTGGGATCAAGTCCCACACCAGGCTCCCCCTAGGTAGTCTGCTTCTCCCTCTGCCTATGTCTCTGCCTCTCTATCTCTCTTTCTGTCTCTGTCTCTCATGAATAAATAAAAATCTTAAAAAAAAAAGAAAATAATGAGTTGAGGTTGGTTCATGGATGGTAACAAATGGATCACTCTAATGGGGGTTCCCAATAGTGGGGAAGGATATGTATAGGGAAGAAGTATATGGGAATCTTCTGCTCAATTTTGGTGTGAAATTAAAAGTGCTCTAAAAAGTCTATTTTTTTTAATGAAAAGAATACACTTTCCAAGAGGGATATTGAAGATGTAACTTCCAGTGTCCAAGGGAACTCTCCAAAGGTATACATTATCTAGAAAGACTGAGTCACTTTAGAACCTACTTATGCAATGATTCCTATATTTACACACAGGCTGATCATGTGAAATGTGCGCATTTATTGACATCAATTTGCCCTCACTGGTTACTCATTGTTTTAAGTCCACACGTAGGCCTCAAATTCCAGACCTCCCCGAATGCCCTTGATCTGTATTTTTTGCCACCTCTCACTTCCCTCTTCTTCCGTCATACACATACCCTGGTTACCGTAAAGGCGATGGACACACTCTGGACAAGCCTGTGTGTTTCTCCTCCTGATGGCTTCCTCACTTCAAATGCTTTTTCCTGTGGCCCCACTCCCATTCTGAGCTCTAACATCTCCATCTATTGCCTGTTTTCAAGGCCTTCTCAAATGCTTCTTCCACACAAAGGGCTTTCCTAGCCAAATAAAGGCAACTCCCTTGCAGAACACTTTGGATATGCCAAATAAACGTGCATAGCATCTGGAAGAGCACCACCCATGAGGTCATGCTGCCAGAAAGGCACTGGGATGTTTTACTATTAGAACTCCTTGAGGAATGTGAAGAAACTGTCACTGTTTCAAAGTCCGCGGTTCTCCTGGGCAACGTTGTTGGAAATGATTTTCTATGGATTTTCCTGGTTTTCACAAAAGTTTTTTTTTTCTTTGTGTTCCTAGAGATGGATTTTGCTATTCGAGTGTGGTTTAAGTATTGTTATTGCACAACCAGATTGCTTGAGTGAAGTAAGTTTGTGTGAGGGTTTTCCTTTAACTCTGAATCAGTTACACACTCATCTTCACCCACAATGGTACATGAGTTGCCAAGTGCGTCCAGGAACCTAGCCAGAAGGCAACAGTGTGAGGATTACCAATTATGGATGCTAGAAGGAAACACTCTTCTCTTACCTGCACACCAGCACAAGTATGGTTTCACCACTTCACATAGTAACACTCCTCAACCACCATAAATTGAGATCAAATGTGAAATCTTGTTTTGTTTATTTGTCTGCTAAACATTGGAATGACTGCTGGCTAGAATTCTAACATGTTCACTTAACTTTTGTTGAGGTATAATTTTTTGTTGAGACATAACTCATATCCATAAATTTCACCCTTTAAAAGTATAAAATTCAGTGAATTTTAGTATATTCACGAAGTTGTGTAGCCACAACCACTATCTACTTCCAGAACGTTTTTATCCCCCTAAAAAAAATCCCATATTCCTGTATTTTGATGTTGTGATCAAATGCCAATTTCACTTATTTATTTGATTAAATTATGCTAACAGTCTTTGGAAATTCAGTGAATAGTGTATATATATATATATATATTGTAATTAATATTATAATAGCTTAGCATTTTTTAATGTTTATCTTGCTTATACTTTACTATTTGATCAAGGTTTTACATGTGCATACGTGCACACACACACACACACACACTGTAGTCTTGGTATTTTTAGAGCTACTAGGGCCAGGTTGGGGATATTAGTGCCGAGAGTTGTAGCTTGAAGGAATGAGTGGGCACAATGAAGGTAAAAATAAACTCAGCTTTATTTGAATACATACTGTTTCCCATGGACTATTCCTCACTTATGTGAGGAAATGGAGGCTTATGAAGTTTATGGAACTTATTATCCTAAGATGGCATAAGTAACCTACCTTGGTTCACAGCCCAAATTCAAACCCAGGCTCTCCAAATTCAGAGCACACACCCTTAACTGCTATGCTCTATTGCCTGCTGTTAAATTGGACATTTAATTTAATTATACCAACAGCGCTTGATCAGTGCTGTGCAATATGCTTTCACAAGTCCTCATGCAATGCCTCATATTACTGGATGAGAAGAGACAGCTTCTGTAGGCAAAATAATCACATAGCTCAACCAATGTGAACAAGCAGCTGGAATCTAGGGTTCTCCCCAAAGCCAATGTGGATGTGTGTTCCCCTACATCATGTTGAGACTTCTGACAGTTATCTTAGACTTCCATTCCAGCTTTCATAATAACAAAACACCCTCTATCGTATTTATTTGCATGTTTGAATTCCTACATCAGTCTGAGGGTTGCAGATGTGTAGTCCTTATGCTCAGATCATGTATGCTGAATGGATACGTGGATAAATTAAAAAATGAATCTTGCCACAAAGTCACTTGAATATTTGATTCCTAGACCTCCTTAAGAGTTTAACCACCAACATTTCAGTGAAAGGGGACCTCATAAAATAGTGTGATTACACCTTTGTTCTTTCTCTATGTTTTTCACAAAAGCTAACTTAATTCCACATACACATTAAGTCAAATGCTTTTTGCATACACAAAGAAATGTGGCTACAAATAACATTGGAAGAGGATTAGTCCTAACTTGTGCTTTTTGTAAGCAAAATGAATGAGGATACTATTAAAAGCTGGTGGATTGGGGCTTTTATTAATGGAATAAAATCTGCAGCTCTGTTAGCCCTCCCCACCCCCAATTCCTTAGCCTCTGTGAATAAAGCAGTGACCTGGGAGCTCTTGAGCCCGCTCCCCCACTCCTTGGAAAGGTCCTGCCAACTCTGCATTGTCCTGTTGGATTTGCAGTCAGATGTCTTATGCTGGCAGGCACTGGGCAGGCAATGAGTTCTTTCCCTGGAAGTTGGGCACAAAAAGACCGGCATGGGAGCAGCCTGTTTTGGGACAGCTGCTCTGAGACAATGCAGTAAGCAAGGCAGAAATTCCTCCGAGCAGAGGGTGACTCGTGGGAGGAGTTCAGTTTGCTAAGTATTGTCATTTGCTGAGAGTAGGTGTGTGCTCCAGAAGGAGTCTTAACCTGGAGGATCATTAACTCTTTCTATCAGCTGGTGAGTTGCGGTGGCTCGGCAAGTTGGTCCTGGAGGCTCCTGCTCAGGAAGGCCAGGGAGGAGGAGTGGAATCACTTTTTCATGGGGGACCAGTTTGAGAAGGGCCAGCATGCTCTGCTCAATGAAGGAGAAGAGAATGAGATGGTAAGATTCTAGCCACATACCCTTCTTCCCATTCCCCAGCCTCCAATACTGTCCCCCTACAGGCACACACACGCATGCATGCAAACTCTCAGACACACTCACATGATCCTCTGCAATTTGACTCTGGTGTTATGTGAAAAAAGGTAGTGTCCAAGACATCTCTCTCTCTCTCTCCCATAAATGTAATCTCTAACAGCAGAAATTGGCTGGAATTAAAACATTGTCTTCATTTTATCAAGAAGTTTTCCTTTTTAAATAAAACAGAAAGGGAGAGAAGCACAATGCCATTTTATGATGCTTTTTTGAGCCTCAGGAGTCTAGCAAGTTCTGTTCAGAACTTGAATAATTTCAGCAAATCCCTACTGTTATGAGCAGTGTATGTCTTGATAGGAAGAAGTGGAACAGCCACGGTGAGGTAGGAGTGCAGCTGAGTCTCTGACTGTCTTCTCTTCAAGTATCTGTGTTTACAAAGAATGTAAAACATAAAAGGGAAGGGAAACATAAAATATTAACAATTATCAGCCTATAAATTTCTCTGTTTACTTCTGAAATTTTGCTTATAGGTCTTTAGCTAAAAAGATTAGTTACAGAAAACTTTCTGTAGTTGGCTGTCTCTTTTATTTTAGATGTGTTTCTCCTCTAGGGAATTATAGGAAAATCAGAGATGATTCTTATGTTCTTGGTGAATTTAAACTGTATTTCTCAATTACAATGTAATCAAGAGAGAGTTAGAAATGTGTACTTTTGGTTAATAAGGCCTTTCTGCTAATTGTGTAAGCATAGTCTTTTAAGCCAGTAATGGTGTAATTAAAATGTTAAAATGTGATACTCCCATTCTATAATAGCATTTTATCTTCCTGGAATTAATATAGAAATAACAAACCCAAAAGATATTTGTTTAAATTTTTTCTTGGTTAATTGTTTAGCCCTGACTATTAAATTCTTTGTTCCTAAACTGGTCTTTCAAGTTTAATCTGCTTACCTGTTCCTATAGCAACAACATTTTTTTGGACCTTCAGGAGTAGATCCTTTCTGCTATCAAAGCTGAAAAAATTATAAGGGAATAAAAGACACCCAAATCGACATGGGCTTCTTAACCATCTCCTTACTTCTTTCAGATTGGACTGACAATGACAATTATTTTTAGGCCCTACATAAATATCACTAGAAATGACTTTCTGACGCTATGTTCGCTATAATCCTTACTTCTCCAAAATGTTTTCTTTGGAGGGTCAATATCCTATTATTCTGTATATAAAGTTGCAAATTTGACCCTCATCTGGAATGCTCTTCACCAGAAAGCAGGGGCTCCTCCCTCACATCCCCAGATGGAAACACACCCACTCTTTTCTCATACACTCATTTCTGCTCTTTGACAATTTGTCACTGAATAGTCATTAACTGTGATCCACTTGCTGGCAGACATTCCTCGTGCTGGGAAAACGACTGTCCTCTAGCCTACACACTGCAGCGTGTGATTTTGTGCAGTTCATCTTCATAATGGCACCACCCAGTGCATCGGGGTGTCAACTTCATGTTGCATACAGCTGAAAGTCCAGTTAGGACAGGGCCTTTGGTATGGAAAGGGGCTCTGTGTTTTCTGGACCAGATTCGTTTGGCCAGCAGTCTTAGCGGAGGTGCGGCCATTAGTATGCAGTCTTGAGCTCTCCATCTTGTTCCGCCTGGAGAAACCTGGCCACCTGCCTGTTGCTGTGTCTGCCTCTGTCCCTTTGTAACTCACTACTCCACCCCCCACCCCCTGCCCAGAGCTGTAAACATCCAAAGTTCTGAAAATCTCTTTTTATTCATTTATTTATTCGGTTTTGACAGAGTATAATTGACATACAATGTCTTGTTAGTTTCAGGTGTACAATATGGTGCTTTGACACTTCTATACATTATGAAACACTTACCACAATAAGTGTGGTCACCATCTGTCACCACACAATGTTTTTACGATATTATTGACTATATTATCCATGCTGTACTTTTAACCCTGTAACTTTTTCATTTTGTAAATGGAAGTTTGTACCTCTTTGTCCCCTTCACCTATTTTGCCCATTCTTCCAGCCCTCTCCCTCTGGCAACCATCAGGTTGTTCTCTGTGTTGATGAGTCTGTTTTTGACTGTTTTTTTTTTTTATTTTTAGATTCCCATATGAGTGAAATCATATGATATTTGTCTTTCTCTATCTGACTTATCTCATTCCATAATACCTTCTAGGTCCATCTGTGGTACTGCGAATGTTAAGATCTCACAAAATTATCAAGTTATCTTAAAGATGTTTTACATATTTTTATAGTGAGTTTTAGTTTACCAAGTATTTTCTTGGCCACTAGCTGACTTGGTTTTTACTACACTTTGTGAGGTACACGCTATGATTCCTGCTTTAGAGATGAAGAAATTGATGCACTGAGAATTTGCTTGTCGAAGGTGGTATTAGCCAATAAATCCGAGAGCTGAGGCACCACATTAATTAAGTTGGTACCTCTTTTGTCTCTGGACCTAAACATAGCCCAGTGATACCTTTCAGTTCTTCCACAGGATACTGTACTCTTAACACACTTCCTTAAGATAACAAAACGTAGGGAGAACTTTGGATCTTAGATCCCCAGTATCGGTTTTGTTGTATATGATTTGTAAACTTGAATTTCCTGAATAAGTCTGAATCCTCTGACTTGAATTTTAATCCCTTTTAGAAAGCCAAAAATTGTCTAGAAATGTGCCACATCAAAATGTTTATAGTTTCTTGCTTTATAATATACGCCGTTTGGACCTTTGCAGAAGGCATTCCTCCAATCATAGAAATGACTTCAAATTTCAAGAGAAAACAACATTCTAGCAGTTATCCTTCATGTCCAATGAAGAAGAACAAGAATACCTCCAGGCCTAAGTATGCCTGGGACTGTCTTCCATTCTAGAATAAAAGAAATTGGAATGAAAGAGCAACTCTAGGTGATATGAAAGTAACATTATTAAGTGTGAAATGAGACAGGAGCCACAAGAAGAAAGAATTTGTTAGGACAAGGAAGAAAAGGAAGAAAGTAATCTTCAGAGCAGGTTTATCTGGATGACTGCCTCAATAGCCTCAAAGAGCAGACTGATTCCTAATCAGCACTGCAAGTAGACCAGAGGCCCAGCTCTCACTTACTGCTTTAGCCTGTTTCTGTATCTGTCAAATAGTTGTGGTCCTTCTTATCCTACCTGTCTCACAGGGCTCTTATGAGGATCAGCTGAAATAATCTGGGGGAAGTGTTTTAAGAAGTATAAAATTCTAGGTAAATGTAAGTTGCTATTATCTAAACAAAAATAGGAAGAGTTAGGGCTTTCGCAATTTACCAATTGAATGACTACTAACCCCAAAGTGAGGTCATCTCTTCTCATTAAATAACTGTAAGTAAGGACTGTATACTTTTATTCTCAAGTTATAGAGACCACTTATACATGGAAAAGAGCTGAGTTACCTTATACCCAGCCTCATAGTCCTTCTTTTGGGAAAACCTCAACCCTTCTTGGGACTGAGTTTCCTTATTTGTGGAGGAAGAGTATCAGACCGCCTGGGAACCCAAATTCCTTTGAATACAGTGGATACATATTTATATTTTTAAATGCCTCAGATAGGCTAAGTGCTCATTTCCTTATACTATGACTTAACAAAGTGGTTATCTGGTTAATATTGCGGCTTAGTTAATTAGAATATGGCTCACTGTTATCCTTTGTTATAATGTAATGAAATCATATTCCTTTTGAGGATGTATTTTATTCTAGTGAGACTTATTTTAAAAGTAATATTTCCTGATTTTTTTCTTTCCTAGGTTCTAGCAAATAAGAAAGAAAAAAACCTTGTATGTTTTTCTGATTATAAAAATAACATATGTTTATTATAAGAATATTGAAATGACATAGAAAAATCTAAAAAATAAAGTAAATATGATTCATAAATCTTCCACTCAGACATGATCAGCATAGTCGACCCTCCTTCTAAAGACATAAAAAGTGAAAATTTATCTAGCTCATCTAATGTATAAAGCTTTCTAATTTTTTAATACATTTTAATATTATCTATACCATTGTGTTTATTTACATCTCTGTATTTGTATCATGGAAACACTGCATACTACATACAGTGTGTTACTATTAATTTCTTTTGACTTCATATTCAGTAGACTGAAATAAATAATGTTGGGAGTATTTATGTCTTAGAAATCAGAAAATGCTACACAGGACTTGCATCTTGCCTCACCTGAAGGCCAGTTATGAAATATTTACCTCTGAGCATACCTCTGAGCGTATTATTTAAGACTTCCTTTTTCTTTTTTTTTAAAGATTTTATTTATTCGAGAGAGGGGGTGGGGGTGGGCAGAGACACAAGCAGAGGGAGAAGCAGGCTCCATGCAGGGAACCTGATGCGGGACTCGATCCCAGGACTCCAGGATCACGCCCTAGGCGGAAGGCCCGCGCTAAATCGCTGAGCCACCCAGGGATCCCCAAAACTTCCCTCTTCTTCCTGATACATGTCTAAATACAGAAAGCATGTTGTATTTAGATATTATCCATTTATTTGTACTATGCATCATGCCAAAACACAATAAAAGCAATCACAATCTATTCTAAAAAGCATGCATAATACACATATTCACAAATATGTATTTTTTAAACAAAAAAAATGGATTTATCTCATCTATATGTTTTTTTAAACTGTCCTTTTCATTGTATCTAAAAATATTTCATGGCTATATTTTCCTTTTGAGAATTGTAGCTCCACATAATGATTTTAAAGCTTAAAGTATATGTGGATGAACTATACAAGATTAAGCAAATCTCTTATGTTGTATACTTTTGTTAATTCTAAATTTTTTGGCTGTGATGGACAACTTTGTATGTGCAATTTGACATATTTGTCAGATTATTTCCTTAGGATAGAGTCCTAGAAATAGCGTTGATATATGAGGGAGTGTGCGTTTTAAATTTTCATTGATACTAATACTTAATTGCCTTTC